ATGTATGTATGTATGCATGTATGTATGTATGCATGTATGTATGTATGTATGCATGTATGTACGTATGTATGTATATTGCAAGAACAAGAAATGATAAGTTATATTATACCGAAAACTAGTTAACCTTTCTAAAACAGTTTAACCCATCAATAAAATGCAGGAGAAAAGTTGGGTTTTGAGGAATCTCTTGTCTCTTAATTGTTGGGTGAAGAGATTCGAAGGTCGGTTCCGACCTTGCGCAATAGGAGTGATAGTTATAAAATGTATGTAGAAAGAGGAAGATAGGGTTTGTCAAATATTGATGGCCGAAAACAGACGTCCTATTTGCTGTCCAAATTACTTTGAGCCATCACTGTGGGTTTCCTGCATAAGCGAACATAGACAGGCACATACACATACAGCGACAGACACACTCACAGGTTTTGAGGTTGACATATGACCATAACTAACCAAATTACTTTATACTTGATCAAAGAGGTCAGATGTAGAGTATATACACCACTGTTTAAGGATTTGCCGGTGAGTTTTCTTGACTCATTAATTTTAATTTTGTTGTCACGATGATACCCTGCTCGGATGATGTTCGTCATATGACGGACGAAAGCTTAGCACCTTTTCATTGGGATCGAAGGAAACAGCGTCATCATGAATCTTTCAGTAAGGCCAATCGACAGCTGATCAAGAGGAATCTGCCGTTGTCTTCTCGCGAAACCGACCTTCGAATCTCTTTAACTAACACTTTCACTCGAAATGAAAGTAAGCTCAACAATACAGAATACAGGTCAAACACAATGACTCTGTGGGCATGAAGCTCAAGATGTGGCCTCAATTTTAGTCGTAGTCCTTTTTAGATGTAAAGAAGTAATTTGACCTCGTTTTCGCATCTTGGTTGTGTTGTCAAAGGGACCTAGTTGGACAGAAATTGTCAGAAGTACCCTGTTGATGTAGTTATGACAATTTCCAGTCTTACACTATGAACTTGCTACATTTCCAGACGTTTCGCCAGCATCGTCAGTGAGTCTTTCCATTCTTCGCATCAAGCTACAACTCAGTAAAGTGATAAGATGGAATCGTACTATGCTTAGCTAAGTAGCAAGAACTGTCCGACCTAACGATGGTAGAAGTTATGATTAGTCGATTCTCGAAGGGGACCTGAAATAATAATGAACTATGGATTGTTACTATTGCTTATAGCCATCTGAAGGTGTTAGATAAGAATATGATGGATGACATCATAAAGAGGCTTGAAAAACGTGAAAATAATTCTTATTAAATCCGCTCACAAGGGAAGACTACAACTAGGTTTGGATAAACAAGTAAGACATTGTGATATTGCGGTGGTGCTACGAAGATGTAGGATAGGTGAATACGCCAGGATAGAAGGAGAGCTACCACAACTGTTTAGCGGACAATTGGTCGAAGGATCAAATTTACTAGTTTATTTGAAAAGTTACTAAGACTGGCTAGGCTCACTGTCGATGCCGACTACGATGTCGGTTAAACGTCTAGGAATGTACCAAGTCCGCGGTCCAACTCTGGGAATTATCATGGATACATTAGGATCTGTACAAGAAATTTAATCCAGGCTTTCTTAATAATATGATCATGTTGTGAAACCAAAATCAAACAACTTTAATACAAGGAAAGGAGACCGCAAACATATTAAGGGCCACATCATCTTATCCTTCATGCCTTTAATGGTAATAGAGGTCGAGAACACACAAAGAAGGAGCAGTTTCAGTTAAGGATAGAGCAAGTATAAGGAAAAGCTAGTTCCAAAGTCATAGCATACTTTCTGAGAACCATACGGAAACCTTGAAAAACCGACTCAAGGGTTGCCAACAATAGTGAGTAATAAGAAAACTGGGAGAGGGGGAGATGAGCGTATTTATTCAGTGAGTTGCTAGGTTTCATAACTTTCATGGTCTGAAAAAGTTTAACCAAGTATGAGTTTCGCTTAGGATCATTGTGAAAATCAAAGACTGCAAAACGCTTAAAACGTCAGCACCTGTTTTTAGTCATAGGTCGGTTTAAAATTCTTAAACTTTGTCATGCTTTTAGGGAGACAAAGGATATAGCAGGGGGATTTAATGTTGCGCCAATGTACTCTATTATTAAGGTAAGTGGTGTAGCACAGGCTTTAGATTTAACTTAAGATATCATAGTGGGTCAAAATATAATCAAGCATTCATGAGATTGACAATTTGGTTAGTAAAAAACAAATAAGTTATCTTTACTGGCAAATAATATACGCAAAGACCAGGTTAAACTATGGAATCGTGGTTGGCACCAGTTCTAGCGACGGTTCAGTCAGTGGTTGGTCTAATTTAGAGGACACATCTCGTTCCAAACCTGTTAATTACAGACATGGGCGACTAATTTGGTAGTGCAGTAAGAGATTATGGAGGCAGATTTTGATTAAATGGGACCATTTATTTTGATATGGAATTAAAAAGGGCGGTTTGGCCATATTTAATTAAAGCTATTACTACCCTCTCCTAGGGCCATCGGAATTTTAGTGGACAGAAGTTATGCATGTGGAAACTTTCATTTTGTAGGAAGATGCATGATGAAGAGATTCACAGACGATTTTTGTTCCCCGTTGTGTTGTAGCAGCTTGGCTTTAATACGGCTTTCAGGTTGACAAATCCACAAGACATCCCCCGTCGTTTTGGGTAAAAACGGACTGAGTTTTCATACATCATCTGATTGGACTGCCATAGTCAAAGTTGAAACTCATTCTTGTTAAGATTTCAAGTTAATCCTAAGTCCATAAGACTATCGGGCTCTACCTTACATAGCATATATACTCACAACTAAAAAATAAACTATGCATATATATACATCGATATAACAATTACAAAACAAATACTATCATCAGTTCTGAGTCATCAAGGATTACTGACCCGAAGGATGCCATGAAAGGATTGAGTAGGCCAGAACATGCGCCTCGGTGAGATGATGAACCACCAGTCTCCGATTAAACAGTCGTATCTTGACTTACATGAGTATTAAGCACAAGCACATACCTACGTATAATTACCATGATTAATATTAAATATATCTAATCAAATCAATCTATATCTACCTTTATCTATATTTGCTAGCATTTATTTGTGAACATATATAAACATAGAGGATGAAACCAACTGGCCTTCTTAACATAGGGTCAACTTAAAACTTTTGCGAGAATGTGTTCCAACTCGAAGATTATCTTACAAGTGTTATAAGCTACGTTTTCATCAGAAACGTGGGAGGATGTCTGGTAGACTGCGTCGTAGTAAATAAATACGGCTGCATTATAATTTAAATAAGATGTCGTCTTCTTATAAGATCGGCCTAAGAATCTTTAAATCATGTATATTCATATTAAATTAAAGTTTTCCCAATATGTTTTTTTCATTATTAAAAGGCTATTAGAAGTTATCCAAATATTTATTCTTAGAATACAAGATAGAGACGAGGAAGACCTAATCCAAATTAGTGAGGGAGGCAAGATAATCATGAGTTTAA